GGAGAGTACAGGAGGTTCAGCGACTGGGGAGGCATGAGCCCCAGGATCGGCTCCTTCCGGCGCCTCATGGACTTCCATTAGTCAACACTTGTGAAGGATGATTAATGAATGAATAAAAGCTTTTGTTAAAAAATATTCAGTCTCTGCAATTTATTCATTCTTTATATGGTTTCATTGAGAAATTTAATGGATTATCCTTAGACTATGTACTACTATTTGATTTTATCTCCCAAAAGATTAAAACTCAGAGACTCAGTAATAAACATCATTTCCTTTCTCATTTTTTCTGAAAAGTAAGATCAAATCAATTTCTTCATCCACACTTGTTTTGAGCTACAGCTGAAAGACAGACTTTTCTTGTAGGTTGTAGAAACACTTCTATAGTGAACAAAACACACCTGCATAATACCAATTAATATTAAGTTCAGTTTATATTACACAGGGCCTACTCCGTAACTTTCAGGAAGATTATCAGCATTTTATTTTCATTCATCTGTCAGGAAAGAAATGGCCAATAGGTTCCACAGATGTAGAAAATAAATCATATTTCACATCTACCCCTGTTGACCATGTACACCATACTCTTTCCAATGGAGTTCCATCTGGAGTAAAGGTTTTCTCACTCTAAAATTCATTTTGGAACTTGATCCTGTTGAGGACATTTGAAGTAAAGCAGCTCAGAATGGCTGTCTCATTTTTCATCATCGCAGCTGACTGGCAGTGAGGTGGCTTCAGCAGGCAATGACCATAATGCTGATTGGACTAAGTGTCTCATGTCACTGAAAAGATAATAATGTCACTACTTCAGAAACCATCAATGCCCCTTTTATGTGCTTCTTTACAGCACATTTACATGTTGTGATCCTCTGCCAGGTGTTTGTGCAGCTTTTACATTTTTTTTAATTCTTCTTGCTGCTTGAACAGTGTTTGCTGTTCTTAGTTTATCTGTGACTTGTATAATATGCAGGGTGCTTTAGGTTTACGGTGTCCCAATGTGCACAGTTTTGGCCTAGTGTGCCTTGACATTACTATATATACACTGTACCACTTCGTCATTTAAAATTAATTCATTCTTTTACACACTTGGGCACTGCCAGCAATGGGCAGATTGACAGAGGGTTGGAGACAGTGTATTTATTGCTCCTATTCGGTTGTGAGCCTGGATGTAGAGAGTAACCTAGGGTGGCACACGTGCAGTGTTATGAAATAGCAGAGAGGTCCCTATCCAAAAAACCAAAATGATCTCCAGAGACATAGTTGATATAACAATCCAAGGTCCGAAAGCCATAGGTGAACAAGCTGGTTCAAAGGTACAAAACCAGAATCAGAGCCGCAAGCCGTGAGGAAGCCAAGAGTCGAAAGCAGAACGATAACCAAAGTACCAAAACCAAAACCAGGAGACGTAGTCGAAGAACAAACCAGGGTCAGGAAGCCAAAAATGAAGTGGTAAGTCATAGCAAAAAGGAAAGTAGCGCTAGCCAGGAAAACCCCCAATACTGAGCACAGGGGAGAGTGTGAAGCAGCATTAAACAGGCTGGGGTAAATGGGCTAATTGCGAACCGTGCTGGAATGTGAGGTGGAATGACAAGTCCTCCGGGGGTGTGGCATAACAGGCAGCTGGGCAGTCTTCTCTCAGTGTTCTTCCAGCTTATAGCATCTCCCATCATCTCACAATTACTAAATACATCTAGAAAACATCTTTATCCTCTTAGACTCTACCTTATGGTTATATCATAGAAAATCTAAAAATCAAGCCCTACTGTAAAACCCAGAAGTGACTGTATGATAAAATCCTAAAAATAAATTTCAATGCAAAGAATTTGTACATAAAACATTGCTTATTTGAAGTTATTTACTAAAAACTAAAACCAAAGTCTGCAACCTTAACATTACATAAAAACACATCAAATACTACAATTATTAGTGAGCTACAAGCCGAAATAAGAAATAAATATTTTTTTTATGTTACCTGTAAGGCTTTAACATAAATGACATTTGAAAGACTCCCTGAAAGTAAAAAGACCAAAGATTGTTGCAAATCAAAGATTGTTGGCTAAATCAATTGCTCAGGGTCTGTCTTCTGCTGAAAAAATTGTTTTTGTGATTTTGGACTTGTCTATTGTTTTACAAATAAGTCTGTTAACCAGGCAGAATTCTGATTTTCTAAAAAAATCTGTCTCTTAAAGGGATCTTCAACTGCATTTTAAGCAAAGCATCTGCTGCATAAATCAAGACCTACTGTACCTGTAATTACTAAACCAGAATGTGAATTAGAAAATATGAATTAGGTCCACATACAGGCCCCTGTGGCACTCCACTAATTTGAGCCTTCTGCTTCCAGTATATATGTATTTATTTGTTTTTATTAGGTAAGCAGCAATCAAAATAAATGCTTTACCTTCAATTCCAAAAGACATTAAGAAACAATCTTAGCTAAAATATGTGTCTTTACTGGCACACCTCAGGACTGTGAAGAACTTCCAAATCCACCATGCACCTTGCATGCTCAGTTGTACACTTCATGGTATGACCACATACTATACTTTCCATTCACAGATACGAGAAGAAGAACTTTAAAATCAGATTGAGTTATACATCTACCCCTAAATCTGGCAATGAAAAAAAACAACAAAATATTTAGCTCATGCTCTGCAAATGGAGATAAGATGGAACAAATCTTTGATGTGATCAAATGTTCTTTTTTGGGAGAAGAACACAAATCAATACACAGCCTACAGTAGCTAAATAATCCAATATTTTCCATGTCACCCCTTCCTCCAAGACAGGACACATCATTAGAAAAAGGTAACACAGGCTCGGGATAACTACATATTCATGTCTCCAATGACACCATTGAATAATCTCCTTTCCATTAATAGCATTAATTCCCATAAATTAAGCCCAGCACTCATAAGCATGTGGTGTCATATCACTTCACTACACTTCTATGATACAATGTAAACAACACCAAACCAAAGATTGATCATTGGTCAAGATTAAGGGTGTCTGTCCAACAGCTCCTCAAGAATGTGCCTGGGTGAAATGTGGATTTCTGGCCCCTAGACCTGAAAGTAAGTTGATGTTCTAGAGTGTGAGAACTGATAGGAATCATTATATAAAAAGTACCAGTAGGCATTGTCCATTTGCGTACTGGGAGCTTTTACCTTAATCCATTCAACAGTGATGTAACAACAATCAAGTCATTTTTGTTAGTAGACCAAGGCATTTTATAACTATTTTAAATGCAGCTAATGTTTGGACATCTTAAATCAAAGAAACATCACCATCAATTCTCATCCATTATTGAATAATTAATAAAATGTTTGTTCTCAGACCACACAGCAAATTTGTAACATTAACCTCTTTCCAAAATCCATGAAAAGGATAGGCTGCATATACTTACGGTGTTAGTGACACTGAATTGTATTGAGCACTACGAGAAATTCTGTATGTATTCAGATAAAAAAGACAATGGAGAGTGAGAGTGTTAAATTCAGACAATAGCTATGTGCATGCTGACATTACACAATGGTACTTCACACTGAACAGAAAGCAACTATAGTTCAGTTTTAGTTAAAGCGATGCAATAGTGCAGCTGACCAAGCAGAAGTGGACAGTATTCACGTGTCCTTCTGCTGGGTATAAATAGGAGCAGGAGTGTAGATCACAGACAGCATCTGCTCACCAACCATCACCATGGGGAAGGTACAGAGCCTCTGTGTTTACAGATTGTAGTTTCAGAGATGAACAGTAGTTGGAAAAGCACAGTAGAGTAACACTGATGTTTTGTCGTTTTGCAGATCATCTTCTACGAGGACAGGAACTTCGGGGGGCGCTCCTATGAGTGCAGCAGCGACTGCGCTGAC